ACTTATACTCTCTAAAAAAAGTCTTTCTAAAAATCGGTAAATATGTTGCTGTATCCAAACAAATTCTGAACCATTTTTCCTGAAAGATTCATTTTAATTTTATTACTACCTGAAGCACCCAACTAACTGCTTTGTATTTAGAGATAATACCCATTATCATGTATAACGTATTTAAATACCCCTACCTTTATTTTCTAGACAAACTACAATATAAAAAGTATTAGCATGCATTTCTCTGGGATAAGTTTTAATCTATGGCCTGTAAGAATTATGGGAAATATTCTGCTGCTGGGGTTTGGGGTTTTGGGTTTTGGTTGTTTAACCAGGACAAAAATTTAGTATAACCCTACATCTAGTCTATATTTTAATTACCTTCATTTCTAAAACTAGAATACAAACTCCCAGAGGAACCCTCCAGTTTTCTCCTCTCCGTCATATTTTACTAACACCCAGCAACAGAACTCAATTCAAGACTTGGAGCTTTGGCAAAGCTGTTTTCCAGGCCACAAATATTCTTGTGGTTAATGCATTTCAAACACTGCTCACATGTCACTCCTTCATAAAACCTGTCTTAATTCTATCAGCCCAAGGTCCTGTACCCTGAGACCTTTCACAATACTTGGTTTTCATGTCTCTATTACAGGTTTTATTTCACCACATCACTCTAGAGAATTCTGGTTGAGGTTTTATTAAACAAAAACTCTGTACGTGAAATGTACCAGGCATTGGTCTGAGAGCTCAGGATGCAGTGATGAACACAACAGAATGACCCCTGACCTCAAGTCTGCTGGCTGTTGTTTCCAGATCTTGTCTTGAGAAGCAGCAGTGCAAGGCAGTGGTTACAGAGGCACACTCTGCAACCACACACTGCATGGTCTGAAGACCGTCTCCACCACTTAGGAGCTTTGGGACTTTGAGCAACTCATTTTCACCATTTATTAATGTGGATAATATTTCATAGGTTTTTTTGTGAGAATGAGTTAAATCATGTAACGCATTTACAAACATGGATGGTATATAAGAATTCAATTAATATTTGATATTTTAAAAAATCAAGATGTTTCCTTGGAAAGCTTTATTAAATATTTCCACATTGTTCAAAATACCATACAGTGATCAGTTGCATAGACATTTATAATCATAATGTGTTGCTTTATTACATATGTAACTTACGATACATGTTTTATAGGTGTATTAAAACATATGCATTTGATATATGCCACTAATTTGATTGATGTCATTAATTCATGTAGGAAGTGCTGTAACTACATTTGAACTGATGCCCAATGGGTAGTCTTACGTGTTTATAAGTAGTCTTTAGAAAAGACACGAGTTTATCCATCTGCTCACTGATGTGACACACAAGAAATGTGTACGTATCATCTGTACAATATTTAAGACTATCCAACTTAAATGGAATAGAACAGTTTTACACACAAATTATGACTTAAGCAAAGCAGAGATCTCCCGTAATCATGGGGACAGGGGGTAGACATGGTGGGTAATAGCTTCTTCCCTTTTATACACCTGACATAACTTCCACGGTCATGGTTCAGGCCAGATACACTTTTATATCAAAATCATCTTTCAACAATTTATTAATATCTTAAGCTAGATCATGTCCAGTTTTTTCTTTCATATCAGT